CTTGATCCTAGCAAACTGCTTGCTCTTTTCAAATAATTATAACAGTGTGCCGAAATATATGCTTAGCAGTTGTTAAAAGATTTACATATATAATGGAATTCTCATACTCACTTACAGCTATAATAATTCGTAGCATACATTTAGGAGAGAACGAGAAATAATCGACACTATAATAGCTACTGAGCTCAGCTTCAGTTTCGCAGAAAATAAATACAATCGCATTAGTCGATGAGGTTATCAAGATAAATGTCGTGTTGTGGTGTATTTTAAACATGATAACAGAAAAATAACAAATTAGCGCGAAATAAAAGCCCTATAGGTTGGCTATAGTAAAATTGATGATAATATTGTATATATAGCAGTTATCCTCCTAATGTATTTGAAGGTGATCTCAACTCACTGATTTTTCTTGAAAATTATTTTACTGAATGTCCAAACTTAGAGGCCAAGTATACAATACTTCTGCAAAAAGTTTGTGGTCGTAACATAACAAAAAATTTTAGGCCTTTGTTAATAATGTATATATTAATTGGCTAGATATTTTAGTTATTCATAAATAGTTTGAAAGCTTTATGAAACTTTATAGTTTCAGAAAACTAACCATATACCTTACGGTAACTTCGTTGCACCTTTTAATCTGAAATAAGTTTAAAGACTTAAATTTTTGGAGTTTTTACACATTTTCGCAAATTTGTAGCAAAATCAAGTAAAGTAATAATGGATGGGCGCTAGTATCAAGGACTCTTTAAAGACTTTTTCAGCCGCGTGATAAGCTTAAAAAAAGCAACAACATTCATTAACTGTATAAAAATGCGCCCGCTATGAAAAGTTAATTACAAATGCAAATAACAATTTTTATTACTTGTGACTTTTTACTCTCATGCTTTTTGTACCTGTTTATGTTTACGTAATAGAGTATACAAAAAAGCATATTAAAATGCCTTAAAGCATATACAAGTACTTGCTCTCGGCATTAAACTGTTGTTTTGTATTTTTTCTGCTTTTACTTTCAAATTTATTACTTCACTTTGTTTGTATTTCCAATAGGAAAGCGAATAAAAACGGCGCTTAGACATGCGATAATTCGATGAAATAGAAAAATGTACAGGCGGCTACAAAGATAAAGCGCTCTTAAAAAAATGCGGAAATTAATAGGTCACCATAGGGGTGTGCGACGGCAGTTGTTTATGTACGCTAGCTGTGACGGGCGGATAGGAAGTCGCCTTGTTTTTTGTAGACATAGCTGCCTGACTTTCTAACTAAACTTGCTAGCTTTATGTAAGCACACCAAGTTTTTCATTATTTTTCTCACCATTTCGTAAATATTTCTCCACGTCACAACCTGAATTTTCACGCTTTTAATTCGCACATATGACGACGGGCATGGCGTATACGTGATTTTTTTGCCAATGTATGCCGTGTATGAGAGCTTAGCAGCTACCGTCTTGCGAGTCAAGCGCATGTAGCTAATGGCTGTTGGCCGGAAGAGCGTGCTGGCAGCTCACATACAAACACACAAAATGATAAACAACGCGTAGCCAACTAAAAGTAGGCTGATATGCTTTCTCAGCGGCGTTGATGGTGCGCATACTTATAAATTCAGCTACACAGAAACAACTACGTGCAGATTATTACAGTTGGAGAAATTTAAACTTAGTGCATTAAGGTGTGGTACCACTACCCTCATGGTCTATTTTATCTTTTCGACACCTACATTTTACCACAGATCCGCGCGCTGCCCATCGACATTCGCGGCTAATGTGGAGGGTAAACAAATTAAAGCCGCCAAATAAACACAAGCTGGTTGTAGTGGCATGGAAAGATCATCGTAGATACCCTAACTCAACTTTTATTTTGTATTTGGGTCAGTGGTTCACCCATAATCCTTTGTGTTGCCTACTTCTGAGGATGAGTAAGTAAAGCAGACGTGTCGAATCTCTGAGGTGCTGCGCAAACACGCCAACTTTTCTTTGAAATGACCCTGCCTTTCGCTGCCAGCTTTTTCAGTTTAACTTTCAGGACGTTGTTTTGATGCTTTCAGCCAATATCAGCTGATAATTACATTTAAATTATGTAAATTTACAGCACTTTGAGAGTTGTGTAAAGCTCGCTTGTTCGCTTGCGTGTCAGCGAGTTGAGCAGGCAAAGCAATTGTTTACTTTTTTGGCGAGTGCGAAAAGGAGCTTGTTTGGAGGTATACACTCCATAGTCCATGTAGTTGTTGCTTTTGTGTATTATCTAACTGCTGCGCGCTCATTAAGCACAAGTCAGGTCGGCGGGTGGCGGACTGCAATTTAACGCTTTTATGTTGTGTTTGGTCCGTTTTCTAATCTTTTTTACTTTCAGACTTGCGTCCACCACACTAAATGACAAGCAATGTCAAATATTTTTTCCTCAACAAAAAAAAAGCGCTCTAGCAAGCAATCGATAAAATTCCACCATTTTTAGTGTGTCTGCGTTAATTTTACTTGTCAAATCAAAAGCGGGTTAGTGGTGGCGTAGGAAGCAGCGCAGCCGGACCGACGACAATGTCCTGGCTGGCGAGCTAATGTTTACTTTATACAAAGAGCAATGACTAGCCGTGAATTCACCTTTAGTGTGACAGTAAATATTTATATTTTTTGGGACAGTTTGCTTAGTGTATTGATAATGAAAGCATTGCGAGGTGTGAGTGTTTGAAAAACTTTTTTTGTGGGAAGGGTTGATGACAAAGATTTTTTTTTTTAAAAGCAATTAGGTTTCAAGTTATAAAGAAAAAAATATTTAAATCGAAAAAAAACCGTTGCAATCAAGTATCAAAAATGTATTAAACAAGTAAGGAAGGGATAAGTTCGGATGTAACTGAACATTTTATACTCTCGCAAAGTCAAATGGTATACTCGTTTGAGATTTCTTTGTGGATTGACTGATATTTTCGGTAGAAGGTCAACTATAGGCACTGGGGTCCACATATTTAGTACTTAGGGGTTTGAACAGTTTTGGTTCGATTTAGACAATTTTTGGCCGCAAGGTGGCGTACTTTAATTGCATTATTTACACAAAGTTTTACCCCGATATAATCATTGTTACCTGATTTGCATAGTGGAAAGTGAAAGAATCAGATGGAATTGAAAATGGTGTTATATGGGAAACAGGCGTGGTTGTAGTCCGATTTCGCCCATTTTCTCACTATAACATAGACGTATAAATAGAACGTTATGCACCGAATTTGGTTGAAATCGGTTGAGCAGATCTCAAGATATGGGTTTTCACCTAAAAGTGGACGGTGCCACGCCCACTGTCTAATTTTGAACGCGGTTCCTATAAAGTTGCCTCATACCATCATAGAGATAAATTTCACGTCTCTGGCATGTTTCGTGTTTGATTTATCGCGCTTTTAGTAGTTTTTAACAGTACCGTTATATGGGGAGTGCGCGGAGTTGCCACCCGAGTTGCAACAATTTTCTCACTGTAGGTAGAGGTTCTAAAAACATTTGCTTCCAGTGAATTTTGTTATTATAGCTTTAGCGGTTTAGGAGATATGCACATTAAACCTATTAGGGGCGGGACCACGCCCACTTAAAAAAAAATTTAACTGCAGATGCCCCTCCCTGTTATCCTGTGTACCAAATAACAGTCTTGTATTTTATTGCGGAGCTTAGTTATGGCAATTTATTTGTTTTTGATTAATGACGTTTTGTGGGCGTGGCAGTGGTCCGATTTCACCCATCTGCAATACCAACCGTTTCCCGGTACCAGGAAACATATCTACCAAGTTTCATAAAGATATCTCAATTTTTACTCAAGTTAGAGCTTGCACGGGCGGACGGACAGAAAGTCACCCGGATTTCAACTCGTCTCTTCATCCTGATCATTTATATTTACATAACCCTATATCTAACTCGATTAGTTTTAGGTTATACAAACAACCGTTAGGTGAACAAAACTATTATACTCTGTAGCAACAGGTTGCGAGAGTATAAAAATGTAATACAAGTAGATAATAAAAATCAGCCATCACTTTAGGCATGAATTAATACCGCCAACGTATTATATAACTTATATTTGATTAACAATTTTTCTTAACCCTTTTAGTGTCGGGCGAAATAGAGATGCATATGCGAAAAAAACCGGCCGAATTTCACAGTTTTACAAAGGTTTGGTAAAATGCTTGTAAAAACCAAACGAGAAACAATATTTACAAGATTCAAAAAGCTGCGTATTGTGGATAAATTACAAAACTAAACAATGCCACTAGTTTTTTCGAACTCATTTGAAAATTATAGAAAAAACAAAGGTATAAACGTTTGTAAACTAATTGAATTTTACAAAACTGATTTCCACATACAAACAGTCATATTTTCATCATAATTTTATATGGGTCGGCTATTAAAAAGTATATACCTTGTATTTTCAATACATATTTTGTAACAATCAAAACAATATTAAATAACAAACACAAAACACAACTTGAAGGTACGGTGTTTAAGTTAGATTTCGGTACCTCCAAGCGACAGGCCAAACGTCGTTCACGAAAAGTTCAAACAAAAATATAATTTTTTTAATTATCTTGTAATGAAATTAGATCATTTATAGCGCATTACAAATTTATTTTGAGATAGAGTTCTCCCGCAATGAGAGTAGTAAACCGCTACAAGGCGCGAGTCAGCTGGAGCTGATATATCGGCTCCCGGCACTAAAACGGTTGATGTCTTATACACTCCTTAGACCCTACGTTACTATATCCACCTAAGTAAAATACAATACAAAGGCTTTTCTTCAATAAAATCTTCATTCACATAAATTTCGTTACTGCATCGCTAATAATACAACTCAATGGCCTCACTAACCACTCGCTGTGTATCTTTCCAACACCACTCTCCATACACTTATACACCGTGTACCCGCCAGCAATTAGTATGGTTTAAAGCTAAAAGTCCTGCTCATTTCTATAATTTCGTCGTAATACGGAGGTTTACGCCTCATTAAATTCACTTTATTCACACAACTTCTCCACTTACCTTTGTTTTAACTGCAAAGTTTACGAGCTGCAAAGAAGGAAATTAAGTTAATAATGGATTAGTATAAATTTTGATTAAAACCAAAAAAGAAAATGTTAATAGCGCGCACGAGCGTATGCGCATAACATTCAGATGTATCACATTAAATCAGCCAACAAATAATTCTCCTAATTAAAGACATAAATTGAGCTGTAATTTTTGAAAGTGTGCCTTTAAAAATATAATTTGCTCAAGTGGATACATTAGCTGTTCTGGTACCCTGCATTTTGACGCTCTTAAAATAAATTTTGTTCAAAGTCATAAAAATTATTATTTTAATATTGCTCATTGCAAAATACATTATGGGTACCAGTACCGAGAGATATAATAAATTTAGCTAGTTAACATTTTGATACAGACCTGGTTTAGGGGATATTAGGTCTTACATATAAAACCTTCATTTTTTAAAAAACTCCTGAAGAGAAATCGTATTGATGAAAAGCTAATAACGAGTAGCTCCAAAATTTGTGTACAACATATAGATGAGAACGACAATTGTTATCTTAATGGTCAACGCCACCATTGGCTTCTTTTTTTAGCCTTTCATCAGAAACAAACTCTTTAGGTAACCATTTTCAAAACCGTAGGTCTAGTTCATGCATTCTAGATGAACCATGTTAGAAGAAAATTTTAAATACAATTTGTACAATTATGATTTGAAACCTACAGCAGACATATTTAGATTTATCTAATACAAATCTGAATCTTTGTCTCTTAATAAAACCTATCACAGCATAATTTTTAAGAGATCTTTAAAATATCCATTGAAATCTGCCAGAAAGGCACAAAGTAGTGTATATTACTATCAGTATAATATTATATACAGATGTACAAATGTATACATATATATATATACATATAAATATATATATATATATATATATATACATAACTTATCAACCTGCCCCACTCACAGGTGTATTACTATAAAAAAAGTCTTATTTTTTTTTGCTTTTGTTTTGATAATGGAACGAAAATCATGAAAGCTTTTACCCCTGCCCCGGCGCCATACTAATCGGCTTTTAATCATAGTTCAGTGAAATGCAAAGGCATGAGTGGCAAACAGTAGCGCCTATGCAAACCCAAATACTTCCCCAAACACACAAACATGTACATACAGTTAAATAAAACATACATACCTATACATATCAATGCATAAGTAAGCATATGAAGCAGCGCTTATAAATACATTTTCGCTGTCATCCACAGTCTTTATGGTAATGACCAATATTGAGGCTTTTGCAAACACACCCATTTCATAAATATGTATAACTGTTTGTTTTGTGTTTTTCCCTTTGGTTCAAGAGAACACTTTCAATACTTTTTTATATATAAGATTACAACTCGGATTATGTGGAAGCTTTGTGGTTCTACGATATTCGGTTAGTGGTTTTGTTTGTTCTTCTGGGTTTGAATAGGCATACATATACATATAGACATATAAATTTATTCGTATACAAAAAATGTCCATAATGTTTCATCTATAAATATTAACTGTGTATGTGTGCAAATGCTTAAATATTAATGTAAATTGTATTTTATATGGAAACATATTTAATCGTGTAGAATTACAATGAATTAAAGATGTCTGTGTTATGGGTTGTGGCATAATTCCCACAGAAATATGACATTCACTCAAAAATATTCTATAAATACAAATGCATTACATGTGTGTGTATTAGCGTATTTTAATATATTTTTTGTTTTCAAGGCTACCATACAATAATCTGCGATTATGCAAGCTCATTGCTGTGCAAAATGATTAAATTTTTTTGATGACATTTTAATCAAGCTAATTAATATGGCGAATAAACAGATAACGGAGGTTATTAAAAAATATTCAAAATTAGCTAAAGAAATACGAATATTAAAGGAATAGTGGTTAGTGGTTTAATTCCAACTAGCTTCAGTGAATTAAGAATGCTTTTTATAAAAATAAAAAAAAGGGATTTGCCTAAACGAAAAATTATAGAAAAAACGTTAACTTCGATTGCCCCGAAGCTATAATACCCTTAACAAATACAAAAGGTTCCTTACAAGAACTTGATTCCGATCTAATTTTGTGAAGATGCCTCGTTAAAAAAAAAAGCTTTCCATGCAAGCAGTTGATTCCGATCGTTCAGTTTGTATGACAGCTATATGTTATAGTCATCCGATATCGGCCGTTCCAAACAAAGAGCGGATTCTTAGTGAGGACAGGGCAGGTGCAAAATTTCAGATCAATAGCTCAAAAACTGAGGAACTAGTTGGTATCTGTAGACGGACAGACAGACAGACAGATGGACATGGCTAAATGAACTCAGCTCATCATGCTGATCATTTATATATATGGTTGTTACAAACTTCGTGGCAAACTTAATATACCCTGTTCAGGGTATAAATATGATGAAGTACTTGTTATAATATAAATAGTATATATTTCGAAAAAATTTTCAACATCGGATCACTG